TTCACCATAGCTAAGATCTGGAAACAGCCTAAGTGCCCATCAGTAGATGAATGGATTAGAAAACTGTGGTACATCTACACGATGGAATACTATGCTTCTCTAAAAAGGAAGGAACTCTTACCATTTCCAACATCATGGATGGAACTGGAGAGTATTATGCTAAGTGAAATAAGCCAGTCAGAGAAAGATAAATATCATATGATCTCACTCATTTATGGAATATAATGAACAACATAAACTGATGAACAAAAACAGAGCCAGAGACAGAGGAGCATGGATCAGACCGTAAAACCTCAAAGGGAAGCTAGGGGAGGGTGGGGGTAATGGGGAGAGATCAACCAGGGGACTTACATGCAGGCATATAGGCCTAACCAATGGACATGGACAAAGGGGGGCGGGGGGCGTGGGAGTGTAGAGGGTAACATGGGGACAAGGACACATATGTAATATCTTAATAAAAAATATATTAAAATAAAAAAAAACTGAAAGACGTTAAAAAAAAGGACTTTGCAAAAATATGTGCAATGGAATTAGTTTCTAGGTTCTTCATTGTAGTGTTTTCATTTATTTGAATTCCAGCAAGAAATATAAGACATGCAGAATAAGGGACATTGTGGTCCTGGCATGTGCAGTAACCCCCAGAGGAGCCCCTAATAATTGCAAGAACCAAAAATGTAGCTACTCCTTTCTAAAATACTACATCCTGGTGCTTCCATATTTTATTTAAAAACAAACAAACAGGGGAATAGGATATGAATCTGTTCAGATAAATAAATAAGTCCTGACATACTAATATAACCATTTATATCCTCAGTTTAATCTAAGGAAATTAAATCTTTCAGAATAACCTAAATTTTCTTTCCTATATACTTTTAGAACCTATTTTCACAGCAATCAGATTCCTGAAATACTTATTTTCCATCGATGTCCATTCTATAGCTGATGTTTTATTTAATTAGGATATATCTAAATTACTCATAAAAGTACTTTTATGAGTAATTTAGGAAAGTGAATTTTTACGTGGAATTCCAAAGGACTCACAGAAACCTAGAAGCCCAGAGCATGATGGATTCCAAGTAAAGAACTCCTGGGTTTATAGCAGCTTCCTCCTTATTTGGATGTAATTAACAGCTAATGATCTCATAAGGAAGTAATTT